CATAGCATTCTCGTGAGGTCTTTTGCTCACCTCGGACCGTGCCCACTCCATTAGGGGTTGAGTACTTCAAGACTTGATGCAGTGTGGAGGGGACGGCCCGGAATGAGTGGATGATGGGTCTCCCGAAGATGGCGTTGTAGGTCGACTTGCCGTCGATTACCACGAACTCAGCCATCTGCGTTACCTGGGTAGCATCTTGTCCAATCGTGACTGGTAGATCGATACATCCTTCAGGGGAGACCGATTCTCCAGAGAATCCAACCAAAGGTGTTGGACTTTTCTTCAACTGAGACCTGGTCCACCCCAAGGCAAGATATGTTGGGAGCGGCAAGATGTTGGCAGAAGCGCCTTCATCTATCAACACTCTTCTGACCAGGACATGATCGATAAGAGGGGCGATCACCAGTGCATCATTGTGGGGCAAGTGGACCCCTTCCAGGTCGGCATCGCCGAAAGTGATGGAGCAAGTGGGCTTCTGCTACCTGATGATGCATACCTCGCGCCTGGCCTCGCGAGCTAGCTCATTCCTCTTGTTTCTCGGACTGGCCCCCACTCGGACCTCCAAAAATAGTGTTGATGACCGCAGATCGGTCCTCTCGTCGAGGCGGCATTCTTGAACACTTCCTCTCTTCTTTCTTTTCGACCGAGTTAGACCTCGGTTTTCCCACGAACTTTTTGAAGTAACCATCTTGAATGAGGTCTTCAATCTGACGCTTCAGCTCCCAGCAACTTGTCGTGTTATGGCCGTGATCACGATGAAAACGGCAGTATTTATCTTTGTTGCGCTTTTCTGGGTCTCCTCGGAGTTTCTCAGGTCGCTTGAGGAGCTTTTCCATCCCGCTCTCCTCGATGTTCGTGAGTATCTCGGAGATGGGGATGGTGGTTGGAGTATACCGTTCATAAGGTCGGCTCCGGCTGGGGCCGCTCTCCGACCTACAGTACTCTGTTCTGCTGGCGGAAGAGGACGATCCCTTGTCTCTAGATTTGGAATCAGTCTTCCTCTTCTCTTGGGTCAACTTCTTCTGGTCGATCTGCTTTTCAGGTCCGCCAGTTTTGGTTCGGAGGAGCTCTTGCCCATCAATGACTTTCTTCGCCTTTTGTAATACTTCGGCGAAGGTGGCTGGAGCCTTCTCTCCAAGTTTTATGGTTAGGGTCTCATCGGCCAGGCTAGTGAGGAAGTAGCACATGGCCGAATCATCAGAGCAGTGCACGACCTTTAGCTGCTCCTCCTAGAACCTTGTGACGTATTCTCTCAGCGTCTCTCCTTCCTTCTGTCTGATGATGGCGAGGTGAGTCGCTGTCTTTCTATCGTAATGGCGAGAAGAGAATTGGCTAATGAACTCTTTCCTCAGCTGGGAGTAGGTCGAGATTGACTTG